GGGATGGGCACGGGGGGGGCACAGCCCACAGAGGAGGGTGTTTATTGGCTCTTGGGGGGGGGAGAGTGTCTTCACCAAGGGGGCTTTTTATTGAGAGGGGACATGAAGGGAGGGTCTTTTCCACATCCAAAAAAGTAAATGAAACTCAAAGCGTATTGACATTTTTTTCATTCTCAAATTTTATCTGGTAGAGGCAGATTTACATCCTCCCCATAATTATGTATTATTACATTAATATATTAGGTTTGAATTATATTTTGAAAAATCTATTTTAATGTGTTTTGTTTACCCTGTTGAAAATGTCTTTTTATGCCTGTGGCAGGGAGTTGGTTGCAGGTTACTTTGCGATTATAAAAGGGGGCCACAACTCGAAAAAGGTTGGGAACCCCTGCTCTGGTGGGCCACACGCCCCTGCTTGGGAATTGCCCTCCGAGATCCGAGGGGGGAAGCCCTCCCCCGGGCGCTGCTTGCTCTCGCGCCCTTCCTCGGGGAACCTCTCTTTTTTGGGCCAGTGAGGTCACCTTAGTCTGAACCACCCCAGAGCCCCGAGGAGGAAGCCTTGCAGACAGAAGGGTGGGATGCAGACTGAAACGGTTGATAAATGCGACTGGAGGGCTCTTTCGGTGTTGAAGGCTTGGTTTTGCCAGTCCTGCTGACAGTTGAGTTCAAAAGCCGAATGACCATCCGGCAAAAGAAAAGGTTATTTAGTAAACTTAATAAAAAGCCAGGTAATGCTGCTCTCAGATGTTTCTGGTCCTTCCCCCCCCACACACACACACACCTAAAATAGCAAGAGTGGCCTTTAACGGAAAGGATGAGAAGAAGAATCTGCTTTGATGGGGTGTCTTCGGGCTCAGGAGTGGGGGGGAAATTGGGCTGTGCTTCTGTCCCATAGTGGACTTCATCCCTCTGGCAGTCGGGGCGTGGGGCAGGAAAAGGTTTGCCTGTAGAGGTAGCCGGAAACCTCCCAGGCCACAGGACGGTGGGCAGAGAGCCTGCATGTTGCTGGGTTGGAAAAAAACCTGGCAGGAGCCCCATATCCCACCGGGCCCAGGCACTGGGAGTCCTTCCTTAAAGCAAACCACTGCATTAAAAGGCTCAACATTTCCCATCAAGAACAAGAAAAGACCACTTCTGCTCGCTGTTTTAAATTTGGGGGAGGGGAACCTCACTGCAAGGATGATGAGCATCCTCTCCTCCTTGAAGACTCCAGTGTCAGCAACAGGGAGTGCGGGAGCGCAGCGGCCATTGATTGAATGGTTTCGATTAGCTTAATGGAACGGAGCTGTTGCGGAGCCCGGCTGCGCTTCGGCGGGAGCATCTGCGCGCTCTTGAGTGGCAGGAGCCAACCGGGGAAACACGGGTCGGAAATCGTTTCCATCTGCTGCTAGCCTTTGTTTCCATTATCTCCCTTGTAAGGTCTTCACCTTGAGCGGCAGGAAGAGCTCCCAGCTGGGGAATCAAGCCCTTAATTTTCCCAGTGAAAACTGAAACCCAGTGCCCTGGGAAGCACTGGGGGACGGGGGTGGGGGCGAAAGCAGCCAGAGGATTAGCAGTCACTTGGAAAGGGTTACCTTTTACATCTGCTCCTGGGTTTGTCCCCAAAAAGTGGCATATATGGATAGTTATCTTAATAGGATTGTTGGTCAGGATTTGGTGTTGAAACTAAGGCCTCAGCCCTTATAAACTAGTTGAGGCTGGTGGCATGAATACTCAATTCCCTTTGAAGTTCAGAAGAGAGCGATGTGTACTGCAATCGCTGCACAATATGAAGCCTCGGGATCCTCTGTGCCGTTTGCAACAAGTCATCTCATAGATCTTGGTATGGAATAGTAAATAACAAAGGAGGACAAAAAAGAATACTAAGGATGAATTCTCAGGTCTCCCTGATATTAGATCTAGAAATACTTCTGAATTCTGACCTCTGAAGGTGGAAGTTGCTCGAGGTACCACTGTTGCTCCTGGCAAATCTGCTCGGAAGGTTATCTCAAGACGATAGACTAACACTGCCCTGTGAGTCAGGTGTGCTTCCCAGCCTTGGGGTAGCCCAGGTGTGCTTGGACTGCAACTCCCGGAAACCCCGACCAGCACAGCTGGTGCTAAAGGCTTCTGGGAGTTGCAGTCCAGAAACACTTGAGTTACCCAAGGTTGGGAACCAGTGCCTTGCTTAGGCTCACTGTGAAGCAATAAATAATAGTGCATACATAATAAAACAAAGATAACACTGGGCAGGCAAATAAAAGAACACTAAGAGCTAAAAGCATTAAAACAGTTCATAACATGCCTAGGAAAACACATCAGTCCCCCCATGGCTTTGAAAAGACAGGCTGCATGACTGAAGAGGCCTTCTCTTTTCAACCCCACCCCGCTCTCCTTATGTGGCAGTGGGACCTGAATGGAAAGGATGCCTTAGATGGCAGGCAACCTTTGTGTGCAGGAAGGAGGCAGATTTTGAAGTGAGTTAAAATAGAATCCCAAGCAAAAGTCAAGGGCTCTTGACTCGCTATTCTGTACAGTAGGACCCCCCCATGGTTTCTCTTATCTGCAGTCTGAAAATATTTTTTTTAAACTACTGTAGATGCCTTAGATGGCAGGCAACCTTTGTGTGCAGGAAGGAGGCAGATTTTGAAGTGAGTTAAAATAGAATCCCAAGCAAAAGTCAAGGGCTCTTGACTCGCTATTCTGTACAGTAGGACCCCCATGGTTTCTCTTATCTGCACTCTGAAAATATTTTTTAAAACTAGAAATATTTACTGTATTTTCATGATGCAGTTATGAGAACTGGCCACTAGAGGGAGCCAGAGATCGTACTGTGTATTGTTGTCGAAGAAGGTGGTCTCTGACTCCTCCTAGTGGCTAGTTGTCCTAGTACATGGTGAAAATACTTTTTTCTATATTTTTTTTTCCTTTTACCATGCTATGCATAGTGTTTACTATTATCTTTGGAGTTCTGCATTTGTGGGGGAGCTTGGAACCAATCCCTGTTCCAGTAGGATGGCTTGGAAGACAGCCTCTCACCCCAACACTCTCTTTTCAAGTAGAAGATTAGCATATCAGGAAAAAAGACCATGTCCTCTCCCTGATGTGCCCCCTTTGTGTGCTCTCCCTCCCCCGTCTCTTTTCTTTGCCTTGCCTCTTGGTCAGCGGAAATAGCATTTGAAGTTTGGTTTCCTTCACAGGGCAGCGGCTGTTTGGGGAGACCATCCTGGGGCTGACCCAAGGCTCCGTCTCCGACCTTCTGGCCCGCCCCAAGCCTTGGCACAAGCTGAGCCTGAAGGGCCGGGAGCCGTTTGTCCGCATGCAGCTCTGGCTCAACGATCCCAACAACGTGGAGAAGCTGATGGACATGAAACGCATGGAGAAGAAAGGTAATGGTGGGCCCATCCGCACGCTCGAGGAGGCTTGCCCTTCACGTCCACTACCTCTGCCTCACCCGCTTGAAAGGGCTTCCCAGTATGGGGTAGTCAAAAGCAGAGAGTTTTACCTGAGTGTAAGCAGGCTCCCAACGGGGCCATGCCATGCCTCTCCGGGAGCTAGCTGTTCGTTTTCACAACAGTTGCTTTGAAAACACCAGCCCAAGTATCCCAAGTGGCAGCATCCACAAAAGATGATCCAGACTTTCAGAAACTACGTACAGAAATCCCTGTTACCTGCTCTTTGAACCCGTTGCTCCCCTTCTTCCTCTCACTCTCTGCAAAATGTGTACAGAGGCTACTGCCTTGAGACAGGGGGGGGGAGGGTGAGCCTGACGCAGTTGTCCTGCCACTTCAGGAAACGATGGGGCCATTCCAAGAAAGTGGACGTCTCACTTTTCCTTGCTGTCCTTGGCAAAGCTTGCCAAAGCTGGACTGCAACCCCAGTGGCCAGGCGAGCGCTGGATTTGGGGGAGTTTTAGTCCAGAGGAAGGCACAATGACCAACATTGCCTGTGTCTGATTCCAAGTGCCTCCATCTTGATATTCCACAGGCTTTAAGCCCGGTAATAAATCTGTGAGCTGTTCATTTAGGTTTTGTGTACCTTGACAACTTAAGGCTCACAGTAGACAGGAAGGGAATGCATAGTCCTTGCAGTTAATCCCACAACAGGATTTCTTCGGAGATAGAACATAGAACCGCATCAGCAGTCAGGCTTGTTTAAACTAAGGCCATGTTTCTCTCCCAAGGACAGATTACAAAACTGAGCACCTTAAACACAAGATATGTGGGTTTGTGTGGGCATAGAAAATGCTGTGCTGTGAAAAAACAAATAAGACCAACCTATGGATATAGGGATGTGGTGACACTGCAGGTTAAACTGCAGAAGCCCCTGTGCTGCAAGGTCAGAAGACCAGCCATCGTAAGATTGAATCCATGCGACAGAGTGAGAGCCCATCGCTCGTCCCGGCTGCAAGGTCAGAAGACCAGCCGTCGTAAGATTGAATCCATGTGACAGAGTGAGAGCCCATTGCTCGTCCCAGCTCCTGACAACCTTGCCGTTCGAAAGCATGTAAATATGCAAGTCGATAAATAGGTACCATCATTTTCCAAGCCGTAGAGCCAATGTTTGTCTGAAGCCAGTTTCCGTGGTTACATGGCCAGCGCGACTAGACGGCGTTCCGTGCCTAGTCACACTGGCCACATGACCACAGAAACTGTCTACGGACAAACGCCGGCTCTACAGCTTGGAGACGGGGATGAGCACCGCGCCATAGAGTCGGACACGTCTGGACTAAATCTCAAGGGGAACCTTTACCTTTACCTATGGATATAGAGTCCCTGTTTCAGGTCTTAACTTTGCCCCAAACCTCAGAAGTGATGTGGAATTCTGGTGTGCATTACATACGATCAGGGAGAATTCAGCAGAGGCCAGCCCATTCTGGATGTTTTGCAGTCCTCCCTTAATGGGCTACCTGACCCAACCCTCCTACGGTTCGTCTGCTACACACACACCCCAATTAACCCTTAGCTGCAGCATCTCATACCTGCAAAAGGTTCTGAGCACTTTCCAGAGGCAGTTCCATGAAGCATACATTACAGCAGTTCAGACAGGAAGGAACTAAGGCATGTGTCATTGCGGCCAGATCAGATGTTTCCAGAAAGGGGCATGGCAGGTGAATTAGTTTTAACTGTTGAAATGCACTCCCAGCCATTGCCAAAACATGGGCCTCCAGGCTTAGGGCTGAACCAAAGAAAATGCCCAAACTGCCAACACATGGGGTGTGTCACTCCATCTAGCATAGGTCCAGTTCCCATTCTCTGGTCTGCCTTTTGACTGATCAGGAACATCTCTGTCTTGTCTGAATTAAACTCTGTGGCCATCCATCATTCTTTCCTTTTTGATCCCCCTTCACAGTAGCAACAGAACTTAAACAGAATGAAATAACAGGCTGATGACCCTTCATCTTTTCAGCCCTACATACTGCTTAAATCCCCCTTCACAGTAGCAACAGAACTTAAAACAGAATGAAATAACAGGCTGATGACCATCTTTTCAGCCCTACATACTGCTTAACAGCATGCTGTCATTCATCAGCTGGATCATCAGGGCCCTTCTGCTCACGGGTGGGGTGAGAGCTGAGGGAGAGAACTTGCCTTGCCTTGTCTGTAGAAGGTCAGAAGGTTCCTACCTGCCTCTCCACTGAAGGTCAGGTTCCACAACAGCAGCAAAGGGCTGGCAGGTATCAGGGGAAACCGTCCAGGGCCAAAGCAGATGTGAGGCCCGTTGTGAAGCCTCTGTCAGGATAAAGACGCAGAAGGCCTGGAAAGACCGCTTGCTCATGGCAAGCTAGCTGGTTTGTCATGATCAGCACGGAGATGAAGCTAGCCGTAGTCAAGCTGTCAAGTCAGCCAGCTCTGTCCAGGCTGAAGACCCTACCTAATTGTATTGCAGTTCTGTTTAAACCAAAAGAATCACTCCTGAATTTGCAGCTGTACTTATACAAATCAGCGTATACAATTTTATGCAAAGCAGCTTCAGCTTTTCTTGGTCATATGTAAGTGGTTATCGTGAATAAAACGTTGGTTCATGACCCCTTCAGCACGTTATAGGGTGGCTACATAAGCTCAATGGTTACGGTCTCTGATTACCGAGCCAAAGGTTAGGAGTTCAAATCCTCACTGGGCCTCCTTAACAGGGAGGGGCTGGGTTCCATGAGCCATAGGCTCCCTTCCAGCTCTGCAGTTCTCAGATTATTAGAATGTAATTATCCCCGTGCCAGGTTAAGTAGACAACGCAGTGGGTAGCTTAACTGCTGGTGGATGTCTTCCTCTGTATAAACAGGAAGCTTCATAGGTCCGTCTGCTTCCAGAACCTGCCTTTTAATCTTGCCAGCTCTCCCAGTTAACTGCTTTTGCTTCTCTGACGCCCCCCACCTGCTTTGTCTTCCAGCGTACATGAAACGACGGCACAGTTCAGTCAGCGACAGCCAACCTTCGGAGCTGGCTTCAGCCGGGATCGATTACAGCCAGGGGGCCAGCCCACAACCACAGCATCAGCTGAAGAAGCCACGGGTGGTGCTGGCCCCGGAAGAGAAGGAAGCTCTGAAGCGAGCCTACCAGCAGAAGCCATACCCATCACCAAAAACCATTGAGGAACTCGCCACACAGCTCAACTTGAAGACCAGCACCGTCATCAACTGGTTCCACAATTACAGGTAGATGTTGCTCACAGCTCAGTGCCGGGTCCCTCTTGTTTCCACCTGCAAAAACCAGCATTGGGCAAGAAGAAAAGCTTGAGTTCAAGGTCTGGCTGTTACCAAGGGACTCCCTCAATGGGGCATCCTTCCTTCTCAGAGCTAGGAGGCAAGGGATGGGAAGGGCAACAAAGGCATTGCTTGGTTTAGAGAGGAGAACAGAAAAAGGCGGATGGGAAATAGTGCCAAGCACAGAGAGTGTGGACCGAAAAAAGGTCATCTTCCCCTCTCACGGTATTGCAAGAGGGCTTGGAAACGGACTGCTTTTCTTCACACAGTAAGAAATTCCACACCACAAGATGTGGTGATGAGTCCTGCCTTAGACAGCTTTGGGAATGGATTAGGCAAATTTACATAGGAGGGAAGAACTAGTAGCCATGATGGCTAAATAGCATCTCCCTGCTTAGAGGCAGCTCACAGCTGAACACCCATTACTAGAGAATAACTATCTCCTGCGTTTCTCTGTCTGGGCACTTCCTGGAGGTACTGTATCTAATTAGCTCATTTTTGAAACAGAATCCATGGGCCCCAGAAGACCTCTTTGTACATCATTTTGATGAAGCCAAGCCAAGCATGTCCATCCTTGGTCCTTCCTGATTTTTTTCAACTACATTTCCTGTCATCCTTGACCATTAAACCTGGACTAAATTTGAGCCAGGTGTTCTGATGGAAACTTGGGCATGGGAAAGGAATAAAGGTAGGAGAGGGGGAAAGGCAGTAATTTTGGAGGAATAGGAGAAAATCACAACCTTTTTTTTGGTCTGGGGACTTGAGCTGAAAGCACCTCTGGCCAAGGATTGTTTCTCTCCCTCTTCTTTTTCTTTCATGAATGCCATCTTTCTTGCAGATGGTCAGTGGCCCAGTAGCTTTCTCCCTGTGCAGTGTGCCTGGCCCAAAGGGCAGCCTTATGCCACAGGCACTGGGCAAGGACCACCGGGCCACACTGCGATTACGCAGTGGCAAAAAGGAGGAGGAAGCTTCTGCCAGGGTTGCCTTTTGCAGTAAGAACTGGCCCTAAAAATGTAGCACTTTCTACCGCCATATTAAAAAATACGCCAATATGCCCTGTCTCTCATTTTCTCAGCCACAGACAGAAGCTGTGAGGGGGGGGGGACTGGGCGCAGGGGCACCCTCAGTCTCCTTCAGACCTCATGCATCTAAGTCTGGATCCAAACTCATGTCCTTTGTGTGTGTGTTGTTGTTGTTGACAGATCTCGGATTCGTCGAGAGCTGTTCATCGAAGAAATCCAAGCAGGAGGCCAGAGCCAAGCTGGGTCAAGCGACTCTCCTTCCGCTAGAAGCAGCCGGGCAGCGCACAGCTCCGAAGGGGAAAGTTGCGATGGGGTGGATGCCGAAGGCCCCCCCGACCTGAAGCCAAGCGGCTTGGAAGGCGACGAGTACAGCAATGCAACCACGAAGTCTCAGGGAGGGCGAGCAGCGTCCGCTTTCGAAGGGGGCGAAGAGGCACTGCGAGACGCCGGATCTTCAGAAAAAACGGAGACATTCCACTCGGGAGCGGAGAGCCGGGAGGATACGGACGACGAGGGAAGGCTCAAAGCGCCGCGTCAGGGTTCTCCGCTGGGCTCTCAGCATTCAGGAGAAGTGCTGGAGACCCCGCCAAACTGTGCTCCAGACGAGGAAGCCTCTACCTCAACTGCCTCCACCTCAGTCCTTCCTGGGGAGAGCTCTTGCAAGTCCAAGGACGAAAGTGTGGAGAGGATTCCCATTGTGCCAAGTACCAGCTCCACGCCGGCCACCAGCTCTCAGAAAACCAATTCCCTCGAGAGTCTGTTTGGCTTTCCCGAGGCGGCCTGCTCCAGGAACACCCGGGACAACACGCTGCGGAAAAAGAAGGCCGCAAACTTGAACAGCATAATCCACCGCTTGGAGAAGGCCGCAAGTCGAGAGGAGCCGGTGGAGTGGGAGTTTTGAGATTAAGCCCACCCAACTCTTGAGGAGAGCTGGGGAAGTGAAAACTTGGACCTCTGCTGGTTTTAATTGATGTCCCGCACTTACCGCCCTGCAGGCCACGGGGCAAAAATGCCATAGGCCAAGGTGCATATAGAGAACGAAAGGAGCGTTTCAGCCCAGTTTTATGTTTGTGTTTTCAAGGAAGAAAACTGAAAAGTGTAGTCCAGCTTTTTGTACCCCGAAGTGTTTCTATTAATTGCCCTGAAGTGATTTCCACAGTTTCTGGGGGGGAAAAAAAACTCATACAGCTTTTGCCTTCTGCCCTCCTCGTCAGTGTGGGCCTTAAAAGAAAATATATACAAACAAGAAAAAAAATGAAACCCACATATTTAAAAGGGGGGCTTTTTAATCTGCCATCTAATGGCTAAACAGAGTGATAATAATATGCTATTATCTTCTGTAACCAGGAGAGAAAAAAAGATGGGAGGGGAGATTTTTTTGAGAAAAAGAAGTTTTTTTGTAGCTGTTCAGTTGCCACTAAGAGATTGCACAGTCAACCCGACTCTAAACACACTAGTTTGAATTCCTAAATATTTTCAAGAAAAGAATATTGTTTGAAACTTGGGATTTAAAAAAAAACCACACATTTTCTCCACATATTTTTTAAACAAAACAAAAAAAAAGTCACATCAGGAAAATATCTTAATTTGTGGTAGCTGACTTCAGTGTTTTTCTTGTAAAGTGGAATAGAAGATTTGACTTGTAGTGCACATTGTTTCATAGCTTTAACCAATTCTGGTCTCTTTATGGGCTGGGATTTGTTTAATACACTCCATTTTAGGCCAAATCAGGACAGAAAAAGAAGAAGAAAAAATCTGAAATCTAGGTATTTTGTAATCTGCTTTTTAACCTCTAACCACAGAGCACGCGGATCAGACCTCATTTCTAGGAGGTGTGGGAGACAGCTTGGAATAGGGATGTACTTAATTGGTTCAATTCGAGTCGCATTATGACAGCCTTGCAAACAAAGTCCAACTGAGCTACTAGTCCTCAGCCCATCTAACGACACACCCCTTTATTAGTCATTTGTGCCCTGTAAGAACCAGCAGGTTCTCCCTTCCCCCCCCCCCCAAAAAAGAGGAAAACCTACCTGGCTGCCCGGAGACCATTCTTATCTCATCACAGTCAACCAGCTGGGTGGTGTGACCAGTTGCTGGTTATGCAGGAGTCCTGTTCGTTTTTTTTGGGGGGGGGGGGGTTGGTTGTCAAGAAAGAGGGAAGTGTTCAGTGAGTCTCACTTTGGGAGGAGAAGAGGGTTGAGCTGCATCTTGCCTCCAAAAGCACCACGAAGGGTGTTCCCCGGGCTGGTTGCCTCCCAGTGTGGTGGGCGACAGCATTCCTCATCCTCAGCCAGCGACTCCCGAACGGCTGTTGCCCAAAGCATTTGGAGAGCACCTTGTCTGGAGGAGACCTCCTTAGAAGAGCCGTTAATCTTGACATGTTCTTTCTTGCTCTTGCTTGGCGCTCAGCTAGAAGGTGGCCTATCTCATTCCTGGCCGTGGTCCCGCAGCAAGCACTGATTTTTGTAGGTCTCCATTGTGGGAGTGGGGTGGGGGTGGGGACAGAATATATATATTCTGAACCGAAAAAACGATGGGCCCCGAGGAAGAGCACCTGGCATTGGATTCCTACCCTGTAAACTGCAGAACTCCTCACCAAAACGTTCATGAAACCATGACACCTCTCACAGTCCCTGCCCTCCCTGTTATTTTACCCACAAGGCTGATCCAAGTACAAATTTGAATTTCCAAATTGTCTCTGACTCCTCCTGTTGTCTATGTGTATATGTGTGAGCATAGAGGTGTGTGTGGAGGGGTGAGTGGCTGCGTGCTTGTGCGTGCGTGCGTGTGTGCAATTTTATACGTCTGTATTTTCTTACGTACTTGTGCACACACATAAGAGTGCATCACTGCCACCTTTTTCAATAAGCTGTTTTATCAGTTATGGCTTCTACAGTTTTGCTGATTTAGACTCCTTTATTGCCATATCTTTAAAACTAACAATAGATGATTTCGGTATATATATATTATTTTTGCTTATTTATAGGTGCTGTATTTTATTATCTGATTATTAGGAAGGGATGAAAGGGGGCAAATATTCTTTAGAGGGATAGACTGCCGGCAGTATTGGGTATAATTTACAAGATGTAGTTGTCATACTGTATATTCTTGACAAAATCTTTTTTTTATTTTGTTTTGTTTCTGTTCTGGGGTATATTGTGTATCATGGAAAACTATGTCTTAGGTCAACATCTTTTGATGACACTTTAACTGTGCATTCATTACTTATGTTCTAATTAATAATTACTTTATGATATGGAGGGGGCTGGAGAGGGCAGAGGTGTTTTGATTTAAAGGTATGTTCCCAATGTTACAGCTCCACATGCTTGTATTAATTGAGAAATATTATTATTTGGGAGGGACTGTAATATGTGAAACCACCTCTGTTGTATGGTTTTTTGGAAAGGAAATTGTGTATTTTACAGTCTCTTTAATATGTGACAGCAGCACTTAGTTCAAATTATCACTAATTTAAGAGTTCGGTAGCTTTAAGTAGACAACAAAAATGCCTTTTCATGGCCTAGAACAAAGGCTCTAGGAGGCTGGAAGGCAGGCTTTGCTTTTACCATACCTTGCTGTTAATATTTTTGTGATTCCTGGGAGATCCAGACGATAGCCCTAGAGGTGTGCAAACCACTCTTGGCTTACTCAGTCACGATCTGACGAGGAGTTCTGCAAACATTTTACCCCTGCTGGTTTGAGAAGCCTGGTAACACAGGAAATAAAGCTTGGCCCACCGTGTCTAGAGAGCTCAATCAGCATTGATGTGGTAATACAGCAGGACTCCCTTATCTGCGGGAGTAATATCTGCTGATTCACTTATCTGCCGGCTGAAAACCCTAAATAAAAGCCCCCCAGAAATACCTATTTATAGGTATTTCCGGGGTGTACTTAACCAGAACTGGCCTCTAGAGGGAGCCAGAGACCACGCAATGTACAGTGTTGGCTCTTGCTCTTTTTTTCAGCACGGATGGATGTTTGTTGTGGTCCTCCTGCACCATGAGCACCTCCAGGGGTCCTCAAGGGCATTCTGCGCGGATTGACCTTCTGTTACAATACGCACACAATGGGCAGCACGTGTAACATATCCAGGAAATGTTAAATGATTGTGGTAGGAATGAGGCAATGAGAAATCCCCACTTCCTTTACAAAATAGAAGTTCCCTCCTAAGTTGAGGTTTTCATTTCTTAGCTGCCCTCGACAAAGCCTGTTCCCTTCTGTCAGATGAAGTTTTATGCTTGATCCAAACAAGTCTTTCTGGATTACAAACACTTATGTAATTTCTTCACAGCAATAGATAGAGATCTCCTGTTCTGTTTTCTTTTACCCAAACAATTATTTAGAATGCTTGGTGCACTTAAATGTTTATGACTGTCCTCGTGTCTTAACTGTCTGTGTCCACGGACACCCACCTTCCGTAACTAATGAACAGTCCTCTGTAATGTGACTTGGGGTGGGCCCGAGCCTCGTGTTCTGGTTCTGCCGCTCATCCAGAAAAGCAATATTGAAGTGCCTTGAAAAGAATAATAAATCGGGGGGGGGGGATTTCTACTTGTCTTTCATATGCTCTGCTCCCCCAGTTGCATCTGTGGATCATAGAAATACTTATAGTGTGTTGCAAATGCTCTTTTTCCTCTGAAGTAGGCTGAACCTGCTTGCCAAAGCAGATCTGGAGATCCTGGCAGAGGCAGAATTTACTTGCTGAAAACACATGGCTCTTTGGGAATTACTGCTTGCAGAGCCAAGGCACCAGTAGACCAAATCAGAGATGCTATCATTCTCCCCTCAGCTTTAAACTTGCATGAGGGCGTTTCTTCAGCTTCAGCGTATTCAGCACTTTACTGATGTCTTGCTTGCTTTAGTCACTTCTGTTTGGGGCTTGGAGGGCAAGACCGGGATCAACAAGAAAAATTTCCACTGAGAAAATGAATTGGGAGCATTTTTCCTTCTGAGGTCTACCTTCTAATGCCTTTGATGAGGAGTGTGATTTAAGAGTTCTGATTTGGTCTTGCTCGGTTAAATGCCTCCCAGGCTTGAGATGTGCTGTTGACAGTCTAGTTTTCAGTATGGGTTGGTCTATCAGAGCATCCCAAATCTCAACTAGCACATGGTTTCCATGCCTGTATTTGATTCCCTGCCACAACACGAAAAGCTGTGCTGAGAAACTACACTTTCAACAGCTAAGAGTTCTCTCTTTGTAACTACAACTGTTTCCCTGACGATGTCAGTGTGTTTTTGTGCCCCAAGACCCAGTTCCAGATGGAGTAAAGGCTTTCGTAGAGTCCTGCCGCTGAGCAGATTGGAAGTGTTGGGTTTGTACAGAGATCCTCAAAGAAAGGTTTCCTTGTGTTGAGTATGCAGGAGGCTGTCAGAATGTCCCAGGGAGCCTCTGCCGGCTGGAAGAGGCAACGGCAGGTGGATGGTGAATGCTCCAGCATGTCATCGATCAGGCAACCTGCCAGGCCTTCTGCTATAAACCACAAGGAGGCATTCTCCTTCTTTCCAGGGCTGCTTAGGTCATTGTCCAATGGGAGCTGCTGTGGGGCCTGGCCCCTTGCCATTTAAACCCCCCATGGCTTCCTGCTTCTCACCCTCTCCACAGGTTGCTTCCCTTCGTCTAGCTGCAGTCTTTAGATATGCTTGGAAACCCTTGGAATGCCCTGTCTCCCTTTCCTCGCAGGTTCCAAATTCCTGCAAAAAAGCTGGTCTTTCTCTGGGGGGTCTTGTTGGAGGCTTCTCAAAGAAAGTACCAAGGAAGGGTTCCCTTCTGGCTCACACTCTTCATTCTCATGGGTCAGCAGCGAGGATCTGGCTTGTCCTCTGTGAACGGAGCCTGGTGCCCAAGGCAAGCCATTCTCAACGGGGGTGGGTGGGTTAGGACATTTTAAGTGGGCCACAGAAGGAAACATAGGACAA